CCTTTCCTCAAGCCTAGGACTCCAGTTCTGTAGCCCACGAGAACTTTGTTTTACATCTCAGTCTTCCCAACCTCACACTCACTCTACCCCCTGCCCTCTAAACCAGGCTCACTCACTTCAGGAGTTCACTCCCTCACCATGCTCCTGCATCCTCAGCTGGAGATTCAAGTCCTGCGCTGATGGGCAACGTGCAGAAAGTGGAGCTGAAGAGGTGACCCACTGCTGTGCACAGCAGCAGCAGGGACCAGCAAGCACTAGCCAGCTGGGAAGATCCTGAAACATACTGACCTGCTAGGGAAACAAAAGAATGAAAACACTTACCCAAGTCTCAACAAGACTGCAGGTACAAGTAAAGTATGCAGCTGCCGGTGCTACAGGCTCAGTCGCAGGACAGTCAGAGTCTCTGCACTACATTATTAGGAAACTTTTCTGAAGATTTTTCCTAAAACATAAAGTCATTATAAAGAATGGTTTCCTGCAAACAATACTAGTGTAAAAAAAGCAACTGTTAAAAATTCCGTGGTTGTCCCTTAATAAACAATGAAGAAAAGCCTGATGAAGTTTGTGATAAATGATGCACATGTAGCACTGTGTGCCCACTCTCTCATGCCAATGACTTTCCAAAGAGACGCAGACTCCTGTTGCATAAGCAGAAGTGTCTCAGAGGAGGCTTTGATAACTCTCATGAGAGACAGGGGAAAAAATATGCAAATTTTAACAGGTTTCACTTTCAAAGGAAAATAACATTTCCTCCTGGATAGGAGGAAATGTCATTGTCATTAGGTTGAGGCAAACAGGTACATGCCTAGTTGTCTGCCCACAGCCAGTATGGATGCAGGCATTTGTGTTCCACAGGCTGCTCAAGCCTGTTTGCAGCAATGGTGAGAATTATTTGCTGAACCAACTGGGGAATTCAGAGAAACAAAGTTTTCTATAGCTAGATCCACAGAGGCTTTTTGAGCATGGTCAGCATATCCAAATCAACTGCAGGATTCCTGATGTGTTGGAAAGGGGCTTTGTTGTTGTTTGTAATGCACTTATTTACTCAAGAAAGCTCAGCTCTGATTCAGCATCTGGTTCTCATTGAGGCTCAGCTTTTTTTAAACCAAGCTTTCCAGATGGGTTGACTGAAGCACAAGGAGGTCAAGAGACTTGTCTGAGGTCATACAGCAAGTCAGTGGCTCTGCTTGGACCTGAGCCCAGAACTGTTCAAGGCTACCACTCCTTGGCTCTTAAAGAGACAATTTTATCCCCTGTGAAGTGATCTTATCTCCATGAAGAAGAGATGCAATAAAAGTAGTCCCCTCAAAGCTGCAGCCTGCTTAAAAAGAGTTATTTTATTTGGAAAAAAGCTGTAGCATTCCAGTGTCTCAATGGAGCAAGTCAAACTGAAGGGGTGTGATACTGATATACAGTGTCATCCACCCCACCCCTGTATAACCCTGTGCTCCTCTGGGGTGGCTTTATGCTGCTGCCACTGCTGTCCCTGACTGTCTACTCACATCCCAGCTAGCAGCACATCATGTCGTGAAATACACTGTTGGTTCAGCACAGATTGAAGCCCCTCCTCGAGGCAAGGAAACTTAAGTTCACTCAGGACCTGAAGCAGAGCCCAAGCACTTATTGCCACAGCCTGGGCATATGGGGTGTGGGCAGCACATCTCAGCCAACCAACCAGCAGATCCCCTAAGCTCAGCTCTGTTCTCCATAATCTCAGAGTACAGTCTTTAAACTCAGCCACAGACTGGGCTACAGCAAGCAGTTCACAGGCAAAGGCACACTTGCTCCAAACCAAGAAGGAGGTGGGAGGTCCTGGGTTCTCCTGAAGAAAACACGGCTTGGCTCTAGCTTAGTTTTCCAGGGGTAGGGTGAAAAAAGTACAACGGGGGAACTTTGCCAGAAGCAACACAGCTTCAGTTAGGTAAGAGGTAGTAAAGAACTCAAGAAAACACAGATGAGTCTCGCATGTCATTCTGCAGAACTTTTGCAAACTGGATCAACCTGTAACAGGCTCTGCTACTTAGGCACACAGGGGGTTGCTCAAGCTCCTCTTACAATAAATTCAGCATCTTAAGGAGATGAAAGCCACAGAGTTCTAGGGAATGTCGCGTTATTGCTCTAGCACTGTTCTAAAGATGAAAAAGCCAGGTTTTAAACTACTTTTTTCTGTTTAACATATTAATAGGAAATGAAACTCTGAAAATGGTGTACATGCCAAAAGCAAGCATAGGTGCAGCCAACTTTCTTATTCTTACAAGATGCATACCCAAGAATCTTTTGTATAGCCAAGAACCACAGAATAAATACCATTTAGCTCCAGAAGCCCAGGGAAGAGATAACAGTGACTCTCCAGGGTTCCCAGTGTGGGATGGGGTTAGACCATGCATGCAGCTGAGTCCAATGACAACTCAGTGACGTCAACCTCAGCAGCTATTGCCTGCTCAGTTTCTCTCTCAGCCAGGGATGTACATTAACCAGCAAGTTTTGTGTCAACACAGACTTGCTGCTGCAGCAGGAGAATGGGGGCCATACCTCAACTGCTGGAGAGTCTCACAGAACTCAAGACCCATGAGAAGGCAACTCTTGAGCTAACTGGATGCACTATTCCAATACTAAAAGTCTTTCCTACCTCCCACTGAAAGGGCACACGTTTTCTTTTCCCAGGTTCACAGATAAGATGTTTTGTCGGCTCCGAAAAGAGGCACAGCTTGTTGAAAACCAGCTTGCTCTCTCTCGGAACTTCACAAGACCACACTGGTGTGACTAACTTTGTGGTATTTTAAATCTGATTCAAGACACCACTCTGGAAAGTTGGTTTTGACCAAATGTTTGAGACAAGCTGGAACAGGGCATCCAAATCAGGGATTAGTTTCACAGCAAGATAAATGACAGCCCAGTTTTTCATGTCTCAGAGGCTTCCCCTTCCAAACCACAGCACATTGTGAACCAGTTCACGTGTCTCCAGGGGCAGACCGCTTGCTTCTTCAGCAACGGGCTAGGACAGAGGGGCTTCTGCACAGGGGATCTCTGCCAAAAGCCAAAGGAAATCCTCCATGCAGGGCTAGGAGGGAAGGGATTGGGCATGACAACAAAATACTCCATGGGGAACAGTGCCTTGGACACCAATATGTGGCTCAGTACTCAGTTTTCCTGACAAACAAGAAGGAATCCCTTAACAGATCCAAATGCCAAGGCCTATCCCAGGGTCAGGCTGTGGATAACCACTGGCTGAACTACTCTGTCCTCAAGTTAAGTTTTCAGGTTGTTTTGGTTTGGGTGTTTTTTCCTTATGCTTTGTTTTCAAATTCAAATGGCCGAAGGCCCTCGCTCCCGTCCCCTTTACAACTTGTTGCTCTTCCAGTTCAAACAAAGAGCGAAGCCCCTCCTCTGCCGGGCCCCAGGGGCCGGGCCGGGCCGCCCAGCGCAGCCGGACGCCTTTGTTTACTACGGCTCCCACACGTCGGGCTGGCCGCCGGCCCTGGCAGCGGGGCCGGGCGGGCACCGGGAGCTCCGGGCCAGCAAAGAGCCCGACCCCGGGCAGCCTTAGTGGGGCCGGTTCGGGTGGGAGCTCCTGGACGCGTTTCCAAGGCACAGACATCAGATATGGACACTCCCCCGAGATGAAAGGGGTCAAGTTACAACCAGTTCCACCAGTTCAGTGCAGGGCTCCTCCGGCGGGATGGTTAAACCTTCCCTTTCCTGCGAGAGCCTGGCGAGGGAGTGGGGTCTGCAGCTATCGCTGGCGAAAAGGCGCCACCGCGGAAAACCCCATTCAACCACAAACAACACGTGTTAAAAATCTCGTGGTAACTCGTTATTCCTGCAGTTTGCTAAATGACGTTCATAGCCCCATCTACATTTCTACAGAGTAATATTCCTTTTACAGTTTCTTTAATCCTCCTGCTATTAGGAGATGAGTCGCAGAATTCCCTTATGTCTCAGATGACACAGAGAGGATCAAACCTTTGCCCAGCCACAAGCCAAATTCTCTGGCCAGGACAGAGATCCTCACTTACCTTTGAGAAGGGCTGCAACAGATCCCACAGTTAACAGAGCAGCAGCTCACTTGGAGTGAGATAAACTTTCTGTCCCCCTCTGAAGTCAGCAAAATTTCTTCATATATAAGCAGATACACACTCTCCTTGTTGGGCTTGCATAGAAGTGGCAAACTATTACCTACTGCCAAACCTCTGCAACCTCTGACCAGCTCTCCATGGGCTGAGATTTCCATTTACTCAGCAGGGGAAGGAGGGCAAGGAAGAAAGAATCAGGGATTTCGGGGGTGATGGTTATTTTGTTTCTTTGAATAGCAGGGTTTCTTTTTTCTTTTCTTTTTTTTCTTTAAGAAACAAAATCAAGAATCTGGAGTGTGGTTTTCAGACCTGATGGCACCTTACAGCTGTCTTTTGTTGTGAGGAAGTTACAAGTCTGAGATGCTAGCTAGGACTGTCTGACAGAGGAGCTGCTAGCAAGTCTAGCATGATCTAAATATACTTTATAACATTACATAGAACTACCCTTAGACAACAAGGAGTGTCAGAACAGACTCCAGGCTTCTTGTTATCTCCAAGATGAGGAGCTGACATAAGCCACAGATGGCCACTTATTCCACAGAAGACAAGACGGTGGTGGTGACGAAAGTGGAGAAGAAGAGTAAAAGCTATAATAGAAAGAAAGCAGGAGATCCCTGGGAAAAGCCTCATAAACCCCGCTGCTAATGAACTGGAAGAGCTGGAATAGCAGCAGCTAACACAAAATAGCTACCTTCCCAGGCAGAAAATGGAATCCCACACATTCTCTTCCCTCCACCTTGCCAATCTTTAGGAAGAGCCAGCAATCTAGCATAAGCAAAAATCTATCAGGATACTCCTGCCATTTTATTGCTGTTGGCATTCTGCTACCTGGAAGTACAGCCCACTTAGCTAATGCCTGGAGCCAGTCTTCTAGAGTACCACTCCTGGATAGGTAAATCCCCATCTTCCCCTCCAGAGACACCCTACCCTCTGTATGTGGAGCCGGTGGAACTGGTCGGCAATGCACTGCAACTTCCGTGCAATCTGCACCTCAGCACGTGCTTCCTGCTGACCTTCCTGAGGTTCCTCTTGGAGGTGTGGATCCAACCCAAAGCCAGCTGGAGGGACATGTAAACGGTAACCAGCATTCCCTACAAAGCAGAGATCAGAAGAGTAATTCGTCCAGTGCGAAGATTACCTTTTCTACTCAGTACGCTTCATGTAGGAAAGAGCTGCACATAATCCTAAATTTTTGACTCATGTAAAAGTCCAGTTCCTGAAGCCCAAACAATGACTGTGTACTGTAATCATGGAGTAAAACATTTGCTCAGCTTTGAAATAGACTTATATAGATTAAGCAGAGCATTGTGTTGCTTCCCATAGTGAAATGAGTGGCAGGATCTTACAATTGGTTCTTTTTGCTTGTTTATAGTTCAGTCAAGTCCTTGGGTTTTTTTGATGACAGTTTTGCAGTTTTAGAAGATCTCTGCCTCAAGCTGTCTCCTCTTAGAGGTTGCAATATCTTTTCTCTCAGACTTTTCTCAGTTTTCTGGCATTTAGTGGTACTGATTTGAATTAAAGCTTAATTGGATACACAAAACTGAACGGTGTCACATCAGTTGCTAGTAAAATACTGCATGGACATGCTATTTATTCAACAAGTTTAACTCTGGTAAAGAGCCTAAAAGCTCTAACTTTTTGCATTTCCCTCTTTCCACTGAAAACTTCTAGGAGTCTTCCTATGCAGATGAGACCAGTAGTAGTTAAAAAATATAGGCAAATTGTAGCATATAAGGTACAGTGAGCACTTGAACATCTAGCAGTAAAATCGAATGTGATAAAATAAAGCCAAAAAGCGAAAGAGAGGGAATATCAAAGACAGCAGAAGCAATGAGCAAGTGCCTGGTTCCTGCAGTGGACAAGCAAAGGTAAGAAAATAAGTTGTCTTACTTGAGGGAGTTGGACCAAGGCAAAATAATTTCAGTCCTTTAATAACATGCCCTAATGAAAGAAACCTTGCTTGATTGGGGAAATGCTAAAGGGACAGTTTCCTTGCTGCAAAGCTAATGACACTGGAGTGCTCTTACCATAGAAGAGTCTCCGTGGCTCTTCAGTGACTCCACAAGGCAACATAACATCCTGACTGGAAGAGGACGGGCTGAGTGTTTGAGTTGCCTTGTCCTGCTGCTCAGGATGCCTGATACCGGGACCACAGCAGTGTGTGAGGGGGAATAGTTGAAACCTCCCCAGAAGGCAGCTGTAGGACTGGTTCTGTGTGAAAAAGCCAGTTGCAGTCATCTCACCAGGCTGACCTGCAAGTCCAAAGTCATCAGAGTGAAACACGTCATCGTCCAGCCCATCCAGGCTAGAATAGTCCTCTTCCAGGTAGCTGGGGCGATCCATTGCTCCTGCAATAAAGGGACATTAGAGGAAACAGCTAAGACACAGCAAGAATGCTGTCCAGGAGATAATACCTTCTGCTCCAACAATAAAACATAACTGTTTTTACCACACCTCCCTCCCAGTGCTGCCCATCTGCATGAGCAGGAGAGGCGAGTGACCTTGTGGTGAATGCCAGAAGTCCTCAAGTGGTGGGCCAGAGAGAGACAAAGTTCGCACATGTAACAGTCCACCAACAGCTCTAATTCTACAACTGCTCACAAGTAGGTAGCCAACCCCCAACCTCTCAGCACATGGAAACTGAAAAGACATTGTTTTAAAAGGCAACTCCAATCCTTCCAAAAGCCTTGTGGCCAGTCAGCTTCTTTGGGGTCTGCTTTGCTTTAGCCTGCTGTATTTGAACTTTATGGTATATAGATCATTCACTTTTTCCTACCTATTGGTTATTGAAGAAGAACTCCTGTAATCACAAGGCTGCAGGGCCAGATTTTTAACAAAACCCAGCGGTTGCAAAACTCGAGAGCTGGCAAAGCCATTTCTGTGAAGCTCTCCATTACTTGTCCCTGTGAGAGCCAACTTTCCTTTCAACTTCTCATTTCCTCCCTCAGCTCGACTTAAGACATGTCCCAAACTTGGCAATGCAGTCACTTCTTTACCCCTCTTACCCTCAAGCCTACATGCACTGTCACTGCAGTGGTTCACCCTACTACTAAAGAAAACCATTGCTGGTCTCAGTGTTTAAAGCAGGACTTCTGTCGTTGCCACAGTAAACATTCCTGAGCTCTGTTACAGTACAGAGTTGGACTAATATGGTGGATAGGAAAAACCCCCATAAGCCCTAAATCATTATTTAAGAGTTCTTTGCAAACGTAAAGCATATAGAAGCAGAATTACCAAAAATGCCACAAGTCCCTTTACTGTTACCTGTGCATCTAACCCAATTGGAAGACAGACTCCTAAGAGATCCATCTCCAGGATTTCCACCCAATTCCAAACAAGGCAGTGAAATTCAACTCTTCATGTCTCTTCCTTTGCTCTGGTTTGCGAAGCATTTAACAGAATGGAAGACTAGCAAGAGGAATTTCAGGCCTGAAGGAGACATTAATAATAATTTTATAAGGATGTGTTCAGCACTGCCCTTGGTGCTCCCATCTCCTCGCAGGTGAGCAGCACTCAGGACACCAGTACTTTAGAGGAGACAAAGGGACTGAGCAGTGCAAGAACTATTTGTGCAGGACTCTAACTTGGGGGCACTATGGTTATTTAAGTTGCTGCATCTCAGCAGTTCACTCAGCTGAGCAACAACTCCCAAAAGTGTGTCTTCAGAGCAGAACAAGTACCAGCCCCACAGTTGGTCCAGCTCTGCTGGCTGACAGCAGTGGCACAGCACTCATAGCATTCTCATCCATGGCTTAAAGAAGCATACCGAAAGGAGTTACGGGCCCCAAGAGGCACTCATGGATGATCATCTGTCAGCCCCGCTGGGATACGGGCATTCCTCAAAGAAAGTGCAGCAAAGGCACAGAGCAAACACTGAACAAAAGAGGGTTTAGAGAGCAAGAAGTTTAACTCAACCTCCTGCAATACAGTCCGACCTTTTTTGAAGAGCTCCTCGGAAATGCCGAAGAGAGAATGCCGAGGCAGCGTGAAGGATAACTCATCCTACAACTCACTGAAACTCCCTCCACTCCCTCCAAACGCAGCTCACGCCGGGAACCGCAGACACTGGACAGCTCGGGTTCTGGGGCTCTGCCCGACGGCGGGCGCACGGGCACGGGAGCTCGCGCGTCCCCGGCGCCGTGTCCGACCCAGGGCGCTTCCTTGGCCGAGCCAGCGGCCAAACCCCGCCGGCCGGGGCCGCCGCACGCGCGCGCTGACAGGCGGCGGGCCGGGAGCGGAGGGAGGGCTTAGCGCACACGTGCGTGCCAGCGTCCCAAAACAAAGCTGGCCGGCCTCGCTTCGACACCGCCGGCCGCCCTTAACTCCTCCCCGCCCGGGCTCCAGCCTCGCAGATGTGCCCCCAGCCAAGAGGTTTAAACGCGGCTCCTTCGGGCAGCGCCGCAGGACGAGGCACCCGAGCCCTGCGGGACGGCCCGAGAGGGGCAGCGCTGCCCGCAGAATCAGCCGCCGCCTGCATCAGCAAATCGCTGCCTTCCCGGTGCCAGCCGAGCTCATTCCCAGCCCGCCCGCTCCTTCCTTCTCCTCGCTTCCCCGCAGGCGCGGGACTCCGGGCAGGACCGGCCGGGCGGGGGTTTGCCCCGAGGCGAACCCCCTTCCCTGTCCCGATCGCGCCCGGCCTCGGCGCCGCGCTGACCGGAGACGTGGCTCAGAGCGGCCAGCCCCAGTGGCGAAGGGGCTTTCTGGGCACTCACCGAGAATCGGGACGGGCGTCCCGCGGGGACGGGGCGTCCCGGGAGCCGCGGCCGCCGCCTCCTCACGGCCAAAGTGCGGCCGGCGCCGCCGGGCGCGCCGCGAACAGCTGACGGCGGCCACGCCCTCCAGGGCGGCCCCGCCCCCGCCCCGCAGCCAATGGGCGCGGAGGGGCGGGGCCGCCGGCGCGCGCGAGCGGCGGGGGCGAAGCCGCTCCGTCCTGATCCAGGTGGGAGAGGGGAGGGAGTCGGTCCCGGTCAGCTCTCAGCGGGACGGAGGCGTGGAGCCGGGATCAGACCGGTCCCGCAGCCCGGCAGTCATCCCCGGCCAGGGGCTGAGCCACCCGCACGCTGGGCTAGTTTTAACTCTGATGGGAGTATGACTCCAGCTAGTTATCTTTCCTACAAAACCCTGATTTCTTGGCTTTAGATGAGTTAGAAAGTTCTCTTTGACTTGTAAAGTCTGAATGCTGAGGTGTGATGGTCAAGGAGTCCTTCGCAGCATGTCGTGCTTCGTAGTGTAGATGAGTAGCAATACACAGGACTAAAGAATAAACTAATAAAGAAAAATTCTCAATAGTGTATTCTGTGAAGCCCCTCGATGAGAAGATCAGAAAAAAACCAAAAACAAACCCATAAAAAAAAGCCAAGCTTCATGCTCCAAACAACAGCTTGGTGCCATTTATCCTTCCTCTCCCACTGATTCACCAAGTCCCCCTCACTGAGCTGAGCGAGGCAAAACCTAGGTCCTCACCGTGCAGCAGCACCCTGTCAGGATGTTTTTAAAACCTGCGTAACAAGATCTCTTGGAAGGGAGATTTTAAAACCCAGCTGGCAGCTGAGTAATGTTAATTGCTGTCAAGTCTGCCACACAGTTATTGAGGTTTGTAACTTAAACTCAGGGGAGGGGTTAGATTGGAAACCGATGACTGGCAAGGTGAGGCTAATTACTGTGGTTTCCTTGTATCACATTGTCTTGGCCAGGCTCTGTGAGCCTCTCCAGTTAAATGTTTCAGAGTCACTGTGATTTTGGGTGAGGTATTTACAGTTACCATTAATAGATTAATAGACTAGTAATATTCGTTTCCTCCAAGAACCCATTTCTTTATGGTTCTTGTCCAAGCGTTCATTTCTACTCTTTTATTTTTCAGAAGGCTTGAGCCTTTGCTTATTTACGAGAAGATCAGCTCATGTTTGATTTTTACCTCACCACCAAGTAAGAAAGCAAAAGGACTCTTTCATTTTCAGTAAGGGTCAGGATCCTAACTTAATTTAGGCCTCATTGTCCACTTTTGATAGTCGTGGGAGTTCTGAGTAGGAGGAGAGAAGAATGCTATTAGAAAAAAAAAAGGTGACAAAAAGCATTCTGTATCTTCAAGATATTCAGATTTTATCACAGTGATGGTCAGGCCCTGGCAAAATGCCAGCTACTGGAGGGCTATTTCTAATTTGAATGTGTATTACTATAAATAAAAAATGAATGTGCTATGATTTGAACCACATATGTCTTGCAGACTGAGTAATAACGGCCTGCTGGTTAGGCTCATTAACAGTAAGAACAGTACCTGATTGGCTTTGTTTTCATCTCATTGAGCCACACTTTGTATCCCCAGAGGCTGCGTTTTGGGAACTCCTACTGTGTAGAAAATGTATGGAAACTGAAATCTATGTATATAATCAGGCTAGATGGTAAGAGGGCTCAGGAAGGATATTTGTGCCTTTCAGTGATTAAAAAAAAAGATATGGCAGCATTTCTAAGAGAGGGGACTCAGAGGGATTCCTTGAGGAAATTAGACATTGTTAAGAAATGGCTCCGAGTAAATAGACCGAAACCAAGACAGAGACAGCGAGTCTGAAATGGAAAATTGTGAACTGGGGGCAAATTATACCACCAACCTCATTGCACTCTACTGAGAGAGTTTCTACAATAATACGGAGACAAGCTTCTTACCTGGGAATGGGAGCCCCAGGGATGAGTACTCTGAGAGGTTTTTGCTCATTAGTGTACATGGTGGCATTTTGATTCAAGAGATTAATCTTAAATCACGTGCAGTAGTGTCCCTGTGACATCTGTGGATGGAAATACTGTGCCATCCTATAACCTTTCTGTCAGGCTGCTCTACTTCTCATAAAAATAGTGAACAAAATTGCTTCTTTTATTTAGTTAGCCCCCCCTACATATCCCCTACATGTCTTCAGAATTATTTCTTCTTATTTTACTGACAAAACTCTGTTGTCAGCATTGTGTTGTAATTGCAGAGTATGTTGTGATCTTAGGCATGGGTCTTGCCAGCTCCTCTGCCTGGGTGGGCTCCAAAACCCACACAGGGCCAACTTGACTTTGGTGGGGGTAGTCTTGTCCGATGAACTCAGGTTTCATTTCTATTTTTCTATTTTTGTAGCTCTCATGGTTGGAATAGGGAAATTAAGAGTAGCCTCATGGATCATAAAGCAAAGGATGAACAACAAAACCATGCAGGGTTGATTCTGTTTATTTTGTTATCTTGAAAACATTTGGTCAATTGGATGATTTTTCAGGGGGCTCAGTCTGAATTCCAAGGATTGGAAAACACTGTCTTCTACCCTGACACATATCAGCGGGCTTGCTGTGTTCTACCACATTTTATTGTTGTGTGTGGCAGAAAAAAAAGTCTTGAATTTCAAGTTTTGACTATCCCTGTGCATTCCTTACGTGAGCCAACCTCTTGGAGAAGGCGGCCTCTGTCCTGATGGAAGAGCTCACTGGCTTCAGCGCCCAGTGCTGGTAGGAGTAAGTCCTGCACATTTTAATTGGTTGTTTGGGAGCAGGATCACTTGCTGACTATATATAAAAGTGAGAGGATAATGCTGTTGGAGTTGTTTTCTGAAGGAAGCAAATTTTAAGGCAGCTCACCACGGTTCCTCCTTTTTGCTCTTCTGAAACCAAAATTCAAACACTTTTTTTCTCCCCAGATAGTGGCACTGTCTTGGGAAAATGCTTCAGCCTTTCTTGGGATGCTATGCTTGACTCCTACTGCAAACACCGAAGACAGACGTTTGCATTTTCCATTCAGCCTTTCGACTGTCAGCCCTGCAAATCCACTCATGCCTTAAAGGCAATGGGACTGAGGGAAACACTGTCAACCAGGCTTGAGGCATCCACATTTCTGTATGTTACTGAACATACTCTTGTATGCTGGGGTCAGCCTGAATTTTTCCTCCCTGCTCACTTGCTCGCTTTCTTTCTTTCTTTCTTTCTTTCTTTCTTTCTTTCTTTTTCTCTCTCTTTCTTTCTTTCTTTTTCTCTTTCTTTCTTTCTTTCTTTCTTTTTCTCTCTTTCTTTCTTTCCTTTTCTTTATTTCGCTCTTTCTCTCTCCCCCCCTTCTCCTCCTTCCTTCCTTCCTTTTTCTCTTTCTCTCTCTCTCCTTCTCTCTTTTTCTCCTTCTCTCATAAACGCTTGATATACAATTTCATTTTCTCTAAGCAGTTGTCCAATTCTACAGAATTTCTACAGCCTGCTAATGATGTGGGGGAAGTTCCCATGAAGATTTCTCTTCCCTTTTTTTGAAAAAAAGAGACCAAAACCAGCATTTGCTCACATCTCTGGGTTTCTTACATGGCCCATCTTTTCCTCCTGATTCTGTACTCTTATGCTCTCTCTTCTGCTTTTTCCCATCTCATTCTTATGAGTTTGCTTCTCCTTCATCATCTGTCCTTCTTGGATTCTGGACCAACTCCTGCAGCATAAAATTCCTCTGATGTTTGACTCCACTACTGAGACTTCGTAAGGGCTCGATATTAAAGTAAAATCTATATCTAATCTTTACAGAGTTGCAACTTCATTCTGTTAAGGCCTGATCCACTCCTTGCCAAAGGCAAACTGACTTCAGAGGGGTAAGATACCAAGAACATTTTTACACGTGATTGGTAATGAACACTGAATATACTCAGGACTCACCAACTATACTCAGTGCAGGGCAGCATTAGGTCTTTATATCACTGCACGAATAGTTATGGTGCTGTTAAATGTCACAGCTGGCTAATGTGTAACCTTGAAGCTTGACACCACACTTCACTGCCTGCAAGGGTTCTCTGGCTGAGACTGATTTTGGAGCTCAGTTATCACAGAACTGCAGAACGGCTGAGGCTGGAAGGGGCCTCTGGAGGTCATCTGGTCCAGCCCCCTTGGTCAATCATGACCACCTATAGCTGGTGGCCCAGGACCATGTCCAGATGGCTTTTGAATATTTCCAGGGATGGAGACTCCATAACCTCCCTTAGCAACCTGTACCAGTGTGAATGAGCTTGGGTGGAAAATTATGTTGAAATCTCAAGTTCAAAATATCTGATACATTTTTATGTATCCCCAGTTTTATTTTTTCCATTGCTTTTTAAAATTATGACAATGATTGTTCCTATCCTGGGGCTCATACACAGATTCTAAATTCTCAGTTTTTTCATTATTCTCAGTGCTACTCACAGGACAGAAGTCCTTGCAGAATCTGGTCCTAACAAGTGCATTGCATGTAATCCCTGTAGAGTACAGAGGTATCACTGTTCTCATCTTACAGAAGAGGAACATTGCATTTGTGTGTCATGTGTTTTGGCAGAGAACTGCCAAAGACTGCACACTGGGCTACAAAGACCTTTGGCTGGAACCAGCAGAGAGTATTGCATTTATTTTGGTAAATGGTCAGTTACTTCTTGAGATCTGATCTCAAAAACATTCATATTTAGATGGAAAATGGTGGAAAAGTAGAGCTCAACAATTCTGAATGTGAAGATATAGGAGAAAAACTTGACCTGAATCACTGACTGTTTATGTTTTCTGCTGCAATACAGGACCATTCAGGGTGTTCAGCACAGTGGAGCATTAAGTCCTAGGTGCAATAAAATTCAAACTGGAGCTAGAAAGTAAAAGTGAGAATAAAACCAGAATTGCCTAATTCTGTCGATAGTTCAAAAGGGAGATCTAGTGCTAGAAGCTGCTGAGTGCTTCACATTGTAACCTATTTAAAAAATATATGAAAAAATAAATGTTAAAAATATAGAATAGAAAAATATAAAATTGACTTGTTTTTTTCTCCAGTTGCAGGTT